AGACTGTGTCTAATATTGATATTATGTGAGATCGCTGACATTGAATGTTCCCAAGTAACTCGGAGACATCTTCAATGCAAATGGTATTCATTTATGCGGGCTAAACGACAAAAATACCTAGAATTGAACGAACGTACGCACTGATTTTCCTTATGAGTGTATGTAGGTATTTCAAGTACCTACCTAGTGTAAAATAGGATAATATTTATTAATTAGGTACTACTCAATTCAAAAACTGTAATAAACATCATAAGAAAGTAGGTAATCAAAATGGAAATCACAGAACATATCCCCTCTGAGGTGGTATGTTCTGTGATGGAAATTATAATTATGTATATAATATTAATAATCAAAAAGATTTGATAACCAACACGACTTATAATCATTGTTTTTCCCTTGGCTGTTGACGCCTTGTCATTTCCTGCGACAGCCAGTGGCTTATTATCCCAATATTGTACAGTGGTTCCCACACTAGGCATACCTACCTATTTCATCTTATGGCCTTATACATTGTTACGATAAATTTATCATTTACGTAACATGTTCCATCTCTTCTTATTTTCATTATAAAGTTGTATTTTTTCCATTTCAGAATCAGCAAAATAATAATTCCTAATAATCTAAAATATCCACAGAGTTCAAAATAGTACAAGTACTGCCATCTATCCATCATGTGCGTAAAATGCAAATATCTTTTATTCATTTACCAGTACTGCCATCTAGTACCTGATGGATTTATTTTTCAAAGTATGATTCAAATTATTTCGCATTTGACAGTCATTTGTATTTTCATTTTTTGATAACCTTAATATAAAGTATTATAATTAGTAAACAATTAAAATAATTCTAGTGGATTTTTATCTATTCTCTTTTATTCCACGTGGGTTTTCATTGTGATTTCATTATAAAGTGAATATGATCTTTTGGGTGTGCTCGTCTGATTGGTTGAACTGGTTAAAATGCAGTTAAGTATAAAAAAACACAGAATCGTTTTCCTGTGGGGTTTGGTCTCTAAAAGGTTCTCTTTTCTCGACAGAAGTCTGGCAGGCAAGTCCTTTTTATTTTTAGTAATTTTTGCTCTATATTTTTGGATTCTTCCTTATAGATTTTTCAATATATTTTTCTATCAATTCATATTATCATATCATTGTTAGGTTTTTACCTCATAAATCTTATCTTATCTATTCTTGAAATATAAATATTATATTTTAATTTTTTTTATCTAATTGTTGGCTTCCATTTTGTGTGATTGCTGATTGGTAGTGCCACGTTAATCTGAGGTAAGTTAATTCAGATTTTTGGACTCTAAATAAGGTACTGCTGCTCTGTTTTTCAGAATCAATTGTTAGTGTGGGAATATTGGACTATTTGCTCTAAATAGAGTCGGTGAAAACCAAATTTGTGTGTCCATCCCTATCAACTCTTTATTGAATCCAGGCAGAGGCCTGAATAGCCATTTTCTGTTCGACTCCGTCAATTATTATCTTGACTGAAGGGTGTAATTATTTTTAATAGAAATCTAGACAGGTCAAAAATTTAGTTAAAAAGTTTTAATTAAAATATCTCAAGAATTTTGACATATTCTGGATTTGATTGATTTCACCGTCAGGTTTATCTTGTAGTATCTTTAGTAGCTACTAGCTACCTTAATTTGAAAGGAACATTTTGTCTATTTGGGGGAGAATCCAAAGATTTAATTTCTTATTGTTTTGCCTCATTTTGTTCATATTTTTGCCTGCTAAAGCTGCTGCCAGAAAAGCAGCATTTTGCTCAATCATAACGAGCATTTCAATTTAATCTTGTTATTATTTTAATTTTACTATTATCTTACCGTTATTCTCAATTATTCAATTGTATTTTTTTTATATTAAAATATATATATTTTTTTCTACTTGCAATAGCTGTTCATACCTGATTTTGTTGGAAGGGAGTGTCTGTACAACAATAGTTTTATATTAACCCGGCATTACACGCACCAAAAAACTTACGTCATTACACGCGTTCGGTCAAATCGACCGACTGCCCAAAAGTTTATATGAATTATTAGCTTTTTTCGCGGAAACGATCCCAAACGTATCCTGAACGCTAAGGCATTACCTACGCAAGTTTACTAATTAATAGAGACACGAAACTTTCAAATAATACCTGCGTAAGTCATGCCTTAGTGTTCAGGATAGGGACCGTCTCCGCGAAAAAAGTGTACAAGCACTATAATTCCTAGAATTCATATTGTAATATAATTATTACAAAGGGAATTATATTATGCAGTACAGTTACCGTATTATCGACAGCCAAAACTACTCCCAATATCAGAAAATGCCAATTTTGAACACAAATATTTTAGATACTCAGGTTCACGCGCCTAGTCAAAAGCACCTACTATGAAAACAACGAACCATACTTCAACCAAAAACCAAAATATTTTTGGGCCATTGGGTAGTGGAAAACCTGCATCAGGCATTCCTGGATGGACAAAACTGTCACCCTTGTACCAGTGGCGTAATTACTGATTTTATCAATGGTCGGTCCTTTTGACCGGCACGCGTGTACTCCCGGGTTAAATTTCAATTTCCTTTGCAAGACACTCACTTTTTGACAGAATTCAGGGATTTAATATTTCAATATATTGGTGAACCTGATTCGGCCCTGTAAACGTAAGAAAAGAAAATAATCCAGCTTGAAAAAGAAGTTAGAGTGAAATGAAATTGATAAGAGAGTGACAGTTTTTCAATATAAATTTTGGAAGTTGTTGTTTTTCAATTGATTTTCTATGCCAAATTTTAACGGTTGAATCCAGCGAAATCAAACCCTATAATACATCAAAGTGGGTTTGTTATTAATCTCCTATGCAGAGGAATGTAAGGTCTATTAAGATTGACTTGTATATTTAGACAAGAGGGGTTACTTTCTAGCTCATTGGATGTCTGAGAAAATCTAGGCGATTGTAGTCCTTGAAACTAATTTGATGGAGAATTTTTGAATGGAATCCAGGGCTGAATGTGTGATTAGTGGATCTTATATGTTCACCAAAGACAGAAATGGGCCTGCTTAAGCGTAAGAAATGAATTTATATGTATATATAGGACTGAAATATATTTTTCATTTTGCAGTATGTTTGGAAATATTTCTTTTTTAGGTTTCTTAAGTTTGATTTTGTTGATCAATGTTTCAATGAGGTTGGGGTCATAATTGTTGTTGAATGCAATCTGTTGGAGAGTTTTTAATTTTTCGTTGTGGTTAGCGGGAGAAAGAGGTATGCTCAGGAGACGGTGGAGTGTAGCAGTAAAAAGAGGCTATTTTATGTTGATAGGGATGGTTAGAGTGGAAAGGGATCACATCACATGATTAGTTTGGGTTGGTTTTCTGTATATTGAGAACGTTAACCAATTAAGCAAAGTTCCAAGGTGAAAGAAATGTTTGGAGTGTAGGTTATTCAAAAGAAGACTGGTTCCCTGGGCGTCACTTGAGAAAACAGAGAGGTAGTGGTCCGCGTAGCTATACCAGTCTAGTAGGTATGTCCCTATTGAAATTGGTAATAATGAACTTGGACTATTGAACTGAGATATGAAATATAGGTATATTTGCTCGAAGTAGGTACTCTAGTTATTGATTTTTCTGATTCTTTGACGAGCAACACAGCCACTCACTCGACTAAAATTTAATTTTCTCAATTATCAATTTCTGTGTATTATCTTGTCATTCAAAATAATTTTAAATTTATTTGGTTTTATATTCTGTTAGAGCAAAGGAAGCCCTAATTATAATTATTGTCGAGCTCTAAGCCTTTTTACTTGGGATTGAAACTTCCCGCCTATAATTAATAGAATTAGAGACTGACTTGAAATCAGAAAAGAAAAATGATGAAGAAAGGAGAGATGTGCTGGCGAGTAGTGGCTATATAGTACATGGATAAAGTAGATAGAAAAAAAAATAAAGACAACACCATTGTTGTTGCACATGATAGTCCCTTTTCTCCTCTACATGTAATGGGGGCGTAATGTTTCAGTTGTGTTCTAGATCCGAGAAAAAATATAAAACTTTCAAATTCATACCATCATCAAAAGATTTGGAAATGAGTAGGTATTCAACAAAATATATTCGTTTCAAATGAAATGGCAACATTTTTCTGATTTAACCGCTTTCGTAAGTAGATACCTAGGTACCTAATTTCAATCGTTTCTGACTATGACTGTCCATGTCTATGGACTGTCCCTATGAAATACTAAATAGTTAGAGCCCTGTATAGCAATAGCATATTCTTCTTGATAACATTGGGTGATGGGTAAATATGGCATATTGATCAGATTTCTTCCGCACAAAGCTAAATCACAATAATTGCAACCATCGTCAAAGAACGCGCTTATCATTATGAATAATGCCCGTATTAGGTACATCTGAGTATTTTTCCGTGTATTTATTCATGTAGTTCAGAATGACAACCGAAAAAGTTCAAACGCAACATAAATCACCATTACGAAAAACAAAATAATGTTAGCACCCTGAACTACATAAATAAATACACGGAAAAATACACAGATGTAATACGGGCATTAGAGTTACAAATGTGATTTTTGAGTTTATAGGTTAGTGTTTTTGGTAGATTTAATAGGTTTTGGTGTAACTAGTTTTCATGCAAGTTTCTGACAAGTACTGTTAACAATTTGACTCATGGCGTTGATGAAATACAACTGAATCAAGGCTCGTAGTTCTGATACAACCAATGACACTCGTGAAGTTTCAGTTCCGTGGGAAATTAATGAACTGCATCTATCATTAACATGTTAGAGCTGAGGGTGGTGATACATATGTATAAAAAGTTTCAGGTATCTGGATATGTAACTAATATCTTGTTTATGAGTTATTAGATCTAAGATCACACACCATTCATATAATATTGAATTTAGTGTATTTTTTTCAATAAACTTAAATCCTCAATTATCCGAACGTTATTGATGGAAACCATTTCAGGTTCAAATATCGGTGTTGAAATTAACATTTACCTATCGGCGATGAACTGTCAGCATCGCGTTCTCTACATCTAGCCGCCCTTGCTCTCCCGTGCCTCGACATTATAGCCGCAATACTAAAGTCCGTCGCACAAGGCCTCATCGTAAAATTGTCTTCCATAATCACCGCGATATTACCACAACAACAACAGTTCACGACACATCATATCACAGATATCACAAAATTGTCCCAAAATCAAGAAAGGTCTATCGAAAGCCGCGGTATACGTAAGTATAAGGTGTAGCGGCCTACTATCGTAAATTCATTGTCGTTATCGGCATTGTTCAAAAGGTAAATACGCGCGCGCCAAGCCCCGCGTTAATAGCAGAAGCCAGTGTTTTGACAGAAGGAATATTTCAGGATCCCCAGTAGGCTCTACAGTTAACGAGTTCTCCTCTTTCAGATTGGCTGCTCCCACTCGTCAAGAAGGCGGTCCGCCACGTCGTCGTAATTGATAGTCTTTTGTTTTTTGCGACCCCACGGCGTCGCGACGGTTTTACTTGGACTGACCGCCGGTGCGTCGGGACGACGTCGTCGTTATCAAAAAAGAACGTGTTGCCATTTTTCGGTACGATGACAACACGTTAGGCTTTTGTTTTTCCCCTCCAGTGGTGCTGCGGCCACCTGGGCGGGCGAGTCTTTTCTCTTCGTCAGTCCGAAGAGCGTCGAAAATGGACGACGGCCCCAATGGGTGGGAACTCTAGATAGTTACGCCCTCTAGGCAAAGCATACGGGTGGTAGCGATTTGCCCCGTTTTACCTGTTTTCGGGCTGTTGATTGTTTTTCTTTTGTTCGGAGACGATAATTGCGCTCTATGTGGCTTGATACCCTTGATTATGAACTTACCTATCAGGCTTTTGCCAATGGGGCTGCGCCGGCGGAGGTGCCTATTAACGTGGCAACTGCGACTGAGTTAATAATAATTTATTAGGGTCTTGTATAATGTAAATTTTAAATTTTAATCTTTAGGAAAATTGCATGTTAATAAAGAGTTGTTGTGAAGAAGACATCATAGGTAGCGCCATGAATCCTAACTGAAAAAGAAATTAATAGGTATAGGTAGGTATTCATAAATAACTATTATTTATATACAATCATGATAGGTCTAGCGGATTCACGCTTTAAAAGTTTATTAAGTGTAATTAACAAAGTTATACTTAGGCGCCTCGTTCTTGGAATCCCACAGGATGCAGGAGCCATCAGCAAAGAGGTGGAAGAAAAACTGATATTATAAAATCCTGGCTCTTAACACTAGAAAAATTCAACTATACAACAAAGGAGTGCAAAGCCAATGAATCCAATTCCGCTGCGCTGATGCGTTTGCATCATGGAAAAACTTCTGGACTGTAAAGTCCGTCGATTTCAATCTGATACTCGAAAGGAATGTGAGCTTGTTGCACCTTACATTAGAACGCCAATGGTCACCTGACGTCACACCTATTTTTGTCATATATACTTCACCCCCTCGCTCCTCATACGGAAAGTGTCAGTTAAAAACAACGGACAATATGTTTTCAATAAGTAGTGTTGCAGCCTCCGAATTTTCTTTAATGGAATGTATCCCAAATAGCAGCCAACTCTGTCATTTTCCTTTATTTACCTAAAAATTGCTGTTCACTCCAATGGGTTCCAATTGAAATCCAATAAAATTCAATTGAACATACTATTTAACTTGATTTTCTATAAATTAACTCCGGTATTTACATGGAGCAGCTTCCTAATTTTTTAACATTCACATATTACTTTCTATTTTGTTTATATATCTATGGTACCTACCTAATGACAAACAAAATGAAGGTATACCATACCTACCTAACAACAAACAACATAATGCGATGGAATGAGACACAGCCAATGAGATGATGGCAGGTTTTTTCAGTAGAGCTAGGGCATTGATTACACTCCTCAGAGGCAAGCCCGTGTAGGTTGCCGGCCAGTGCTACCATAAATATTGATAATTTTGGTTAAATTTTGAATTCAATTCCAACTCCGAACAGGTAGGTACAATTGGCAGAAATTAAATTAACTGCATGCAAACACAAATCACTCACTAAATTAATCACTTTATTTCTTCAATGGGTTAACTTAACAATACGAAAACGAAGGACAAGATTGTGGTAAATTTCACAATCTACACACATCACATCTCTCTTCGTTTTTTTCCAAACCTAGGTTAGAATCTACTTAATCAGAGTGCACGCTGTCATCTGTGGCACTTGTCTTTCAATTTTCACAGTAACCCAAGCTAAGGCGTTTTCTTTTATTCCCCAATCCCAGAGCAACCAATTTCAATTATTACATGTTTAAAATAGAATATTCATTAGAACACCCGCAATAATAAATAAGTAATCGATTTGATAGTATTTTGAAAATCAGTTCGTATGGATGAAAAACGAAATTTGCTACTTGCTACTTTATCGAATGTGTACCTATATTGCTCAAATAAACTGAGATAATTGATTGCAAAGTGTTTATAAGTTTATTGATTTAACGGTATAATTCATTGTCGCAATGCAAGAATTTGATTGATTACTGACTCACTGTAGATAATAGGGGCATTCTTTCAATGTAATCGAACTGAACAAACCAATCTGATTTAACTGGAAGTCATTTTAATTTTTACATCATTTCGCACAGCTCTGTAATATTGAAAGAACAAAAATCTATATCAGCTGATTTTGACTCACAAAGTCGCAAATGATCTGAGAGAAGCATTGAGGAAAGAAGTGAACGAAAAAATTCTGGTATCACTTGGGGCTAGTATTAAACTGATTGCAATCATTTGGGTGGGTATGGTGGGGGCCCGGAAGTGATCCAAAAAGGAAAGAACAGGGTGCAATCAGTTCAGGTGACTTCGATCAGTTTGTCCCTAAAGCTAAAGGGTTGATAGGTCGCCTGGTAATGGGTAACTTGATGACGCATCTGGGGAACCTTAAGGAGATTTGCTTAGGTTGAGGCATACAGATGACGACACAAAAGTTATCAGGCAACTTACCTCTCTAAAACAGCCTTGACTATGTAGGAATAATAATTAGGTACGAAAGGTTCAAAATTTCAATGGGCTCTTTCACTAATTTTTGAAATTGGCATATTTGGATAAAGCAACTAAAGACAGAATTTTCTATATTTTTACTTTTGAAAAATTCAAAGTCCTTGAGTAAACAGAAAAAAAAGAAATGCCTCCAAATAAAACCCCAGAATTTATTTATACGACGTCGCAGCTCGCAATTTGACCGTGTTGCCACTAATTGTCAACAGTGAAAATTTTTAATAGATTTAATTCTGAAATTTAGTCACAACCGACAACAGCGCATTCGAATCTTTACGTACTTTTACAGAGCGCAACACAGCCGAGCCGGTCAGCTCCTTGCAACAACATGAGCGAAATGAAAAATATTTATGTGACGTCATCAATCGGCGCGTTTTAAATCATTTTGAATTTCGCCACTTTCAAGTGCCTGTAAAAAACTTATTCAACCTTGTAGAACATTTTTTTGGGTATGTAGAACATTTTTTTGTATATGCCTAAAATAGTCCCTCCTTTGGGATTTTATACTTAAATTACGTATTTAAATTTTAGTGAAAGAGTCCATTCTCAAAACAAACTTATGGCGTTTCCGATTGGTAGATTCAGTGCGCACTGAGTGTATTTGCATGCTTTTAATCGACCTGTAGAAGAAACAGACAGAGATAGAAAAGATTGCACTAGTTCCGCACTAGATCAACCAATCGGAAACGCCATTAAATTCTAACAAGGAACAATTAAATTCTACTTGGTCAACAAGACACAACTGTTCCTTAAACTTTAAAGTCTTAACACTAAGTAGATACAGGTTTAGTTAGTATATCAGCCACTTGATCCTCAGATCTAATATACAATACATTCACCAAACCTTGGTCAATTTTCTCTTTAGGGCCAAATTATGGACCGACTGATAAGTGTAGGTTCTTACCTAGCAGGTACTTTCTATTCTCTAGTTAGAGCATGGAGAGTTCCTGCTAGATAATAACCTGACACTTATCAGTCGGTCCATAATTTGGCCCTTAATTAAAAAAAAATTGATACCCAAGTGCTAGTCTTTTATTGTTTTCAGGGTTGTTGTTTGCTATGTTTTTTGCAGACTGATTGCCCTCATATATTTCAATTGGTCTGTTTAATTCAATATTAATGTCAGCTATAGGATTTTTCTCAACCAGCACGCTTCAGTCCCTGCAACAGCCAATAGACAAAGTAATATACTCTGACTCTGTGGATGAAATTGATACAGATTGTTGCTTTTTGCCAATGAACTAAACAAACGCACCTGGAACGGTGGCTGCATAATATGTTCCCTCTGCAAGGGCTTGTGCCAGGAAGGACATTAAGGACAACAAACAAGTGGGATTTGCATCTCTCTCTGCACTATGGCGGCTATTTATTGAGAACAGCTGTTTGAAGTGTTTGAAACATTAAGGTTAGGAAGATGACGAAGCTCTTCTTTTTTTTACGTTAAACGCAATGAGTGCAAGCGAGACAACAATCCCTCTGTATTGCTGGGTTGCATATATCAAAATTCGGCACACTAGCATAAGGCAGTGCGCCCGTTCCAGAGTGTTTGTTTAGTTCAATGCTTTTTGCTTGCCCATGATACAGGACGACCAAAACATTAGAAAATATAACCTGTTGTCGACTTTCTGTCAATGACATCACCGCCCCAATCTGAATCAACATACCCACACAAAACATTGCCATTATCAGTACATAGTTTAAGTTTTAGGTAGGTATAGGTACAATGTTCCTTTTATGTACCGTAACACTCTTTTCAAAGCTATATACAAGCTCTCAATTGCAGTTTCTAAGAAACGACAGAGCTGATACACTGAACAAATCAGGCCTTGTACCTAAAATTGCATACTTACATAAGACTTCCGATTATTTGCCTACACCGTTTTATGTATTTTTCCTCTCCTTTATTACCCTAAAAAACGACTTAAGCTACTTAAATTAAGAAAAAAATTATAAGATCTCTCGTGAAAACCGCAGTCCTATATTCAAAATAGTCTTCGTGAAAATTCCATTTGAAGATAAATTATGCAAGAGCTTGTGATGTCACAACCACCGAAATCGCATTCTTCTTTCCGGTCAGTCGTCAGTGAACCGTACCCCATACTTTAAGTGGTTGCAATTCGCTCTAGGAGATAATTGTATTTTGTTTTAGAAAATTCTTACACGTGTTAATACTGTCCCTGATAATCCAGTATAACGTCACAAAAACCTAGTTGCAACTTTAAACCGCCCTAACTCGAAAACGGATCATCGTAGCAAGATGCGGTTTAAATATTTATTCTTATATTTTTTTGCACTAAAACTTTCATTTTTGGGGTAATCACGTGACCAGCAAACGCACAGAGTAGT